TGGGAACCCTGCAGCCCAATGGTATCAATGTGGATTTCACAAGTTTCAAAATCTCCCCTCCCCCTACCGCATCCCAAAACCAGTCCAGCTCATCCCTGCCTCCCTAACCTGTTCTTCCTCCCACCTATCCCCTCCTCCCACCGACTAACCTCATCCCGCCCCCTTGACCTTTGTCCTCCCTGGACTGACCTATCCCCTCCCTAACTCCCCACCTACACTCACCTTTACTGGCCCCATCCCCGCCTCTTCGACCTGTTTGTTTCCTCTCCACCTATCCTCTCCTCTATCCCTCTTCTATCCGCCTCCCACTCTCTCCCTATTTATTTCAGAACCCCTTCCCCTCCCCCTTTTCGGATGATGTCTTATTTTGGATTTCTCTATCAGGCTTGGGTTCAGTTAATGCCTTTTGTTCCCATGGTCTTCACCTTTGCTTGCAAGTTATTATGCTTTTTGAAATCCTACTTTTTTTGTTTATTTGTGGGATGTGGGTGTCGCTGGCTGGGTCAGCATTTATTGTCCATTGCTAACTGCCCTTGAGAAGGTGATGGTGAGCTCCCTTCTTAAATTGCTGCCATCCAAATGTTGTAGGTAGACCCACAATTCCCTGAGGGAGGGAATTCCAGGATTTTGACACAGTGACACTGAAGCAATGCTGATCTATTCCCAAGTCAGGATGGGGAGTGACTTAGAGGGGAACTTGAAGGTGGTGGGTTCCATTATGCCTGCTGCTCTTGTCCTTCTAGATGGAAGAGGTTGTGAGTTTGGAAGGTGCTGTCTGAGGATCTTCGGTGAATTTCTGCAGTGAAGGAAGTGGACGTTTGTACATGAGGTGCCTGTCAAATGGGCTGCTTTGTCCTGGATGGTTTCAAGCTTCGAGTGTTCTTGGAGCTGACCCATCCAGGCAAATGTATTCCATCACAATCCTGATTTGTGCCTCGTATATGGTGGACTGGCTGTGAGGAGTCGGGAGATGGATACTCATGGCACAATTCTTAGCCTGACTTTCTCTTGTAGCTCCTGTAATTATATAGTGAGTCTAGATCAGTTTCTGGTAAGGGTAACCCCCAGAATGTTGATCATGGTGCTAGTTAAATGTTTAAAGATTTTATTTAATTGTACAATTTATGTGGATCTGCTCACTGTTAACCTAATAACTCAATAACGTACTAATACTGTAACTGCAATGCAAGTGCTCCTTGGTTACTGTTTCCTGTGTAACGCAGTATCTCAGTAATGCTACAGGAACATTGTGACACACATAACAGGGAACATATTTCCTTACAGTTTCCTCAACCACTGACTGTGATGATGTTGCTTTTTCTGTCAGGCAGTGGAAGTGGGCTGTAGCTACAGAGTAAGTTGGTGGATGGGGGGTGGGGGAGGGTGTAGTAGGAGTGAAGTATCACCATGGTTTCCACCCTCAGGACCATTCCTATTTGACTCTTTGAAAGAATTTGCATGAATTACAATAGCAGTGACATTTCAAAAGCAGATAAAATCGGCTTTGAAGCTCTTCGTGATACGTTGAGGGTGGGATGGATGGTGTAAGAAAATGCTGGAGAAACTGAGGCACTTACAAAAAGTCGTTGAAGTCAAGGTATTAGCTCTGTTTCTCCCTGCATCCAGACCTGATCAGTTTTCCCAATACTCAGAGGAGCAGGATGCTGCCTGGTCAGCTGTGTTCCTCCAGCTGCTCCACACTGTGCTATCTCTGACTCTTGCATATGCAGTTCTTACTATCGCCGAAGATTTGTGACCCTCAGAAAAAAAATTCTCATACTCATCTGTTTTAAGTGGGCAACCACTGATTTTTATGCAGCGACCCCTAGTTCTAGATTCTCCAGAGGGAACCTCCTCACTATAATCATACAATCCCTGCGATGTGGGAGCAGGACATTTGGCTCATCAAGTCCATGCTGACCCGCTAAGAGCATCCCACTTAGGCCCAAGCACCTACCCCATCCCTGCAGTTCCCATGTCTAACCCACCGTACTTGCTCATCCCTGGACACAATAGATAGAACATAGAACAGTACAGCACAGTACAGGCCCTTCGGCCCACGATGTTGTGCCAAACTTTTACCCTAAACCTAAGGTCTAACCTCCACCGCCACCTTATACTATCATCCATATGCCTATGTAATAGCCGCTTAAATGCCCCTAATGAGGCCGACTCCACTACCCTCTCCGGCAATGCATTCCACGCCCCTACCACTCTCTGAGTAAAGAACCTACCTCTGACATCTCCCCGATATCTACCTTCTTTCACTTTAAAACTATGTCCCCTCGTAAAAGCTACCTCCACCCTAGGAAAAAGTCTTTGGCTGTCTACTCTATCTATACCTCTGATCATTTTGTACACCTCTATCAAGTCACCTCTCATCCTTCATCGTTCTAAAGAGAAAAGGCCTAGCTCTCTCAACCTTTCCTCGTAAGACCTTCCCTCCATTCCAGGCAACATCCTGGTAAATTTCCTCTGCACCTTTTCTAACGCTTCCACATCTTTCCTGTAATGAGGTGACCAAAACTAGACAATACTCCAGATGTGGAGTAAATAGATAATTTAGCATGGCCAATCTACCGAACCTGCACATCTTTGGACTGTGGGAGGAAACCAGAGTACCTGAAGGAAACCCACGCAGACATGGGCACAATGTGAAAACTCCACACAGTCGGAAGCCTGAGGATAAAACTGAACCCAGGTCCCTGTTGCTGTGAGGCAGCAGTGCTAACCACTATACCACCGTGCTGCCCCAACCATAGCTAGCTGCTCAGGATCTTGTATCTATTGATCTAGTCCACTCTTACTCTAAACTCTAGTGGATACAAACTTAGTGTGTCCAACCTTTCATAGAATCATAGAATCCCTACAGAGTGGAAGCAGTCTATTTGGCCCATCGAGTCCACACTGACCCTCTGAATTCCATCCCAATTTCCTCATAAGACAAACCTTTACTCTAGATATTTGTCTCGGAAACTTCTGAATCATGGCGGATTTCTCAATCTGTTTCTCGCTAAGAGCAAATTGTCGCTTGTTGTCTCCTGGTTTTAAACACGGTAACCATTGCTGCCTTTCTGCGAATCCTTTGTGGAATTAACTGAGAGGTACTGTCTCCACATTTAAGTTTAACCCTAAATCTAATTACCCAGATTTTCTTGGGGTCCTAAACTATCTGCATCACCATTATTGGAGCTTCAAACACTACGAAAGAAGAAAGGATGGTGGAATAGGTTTCTATGCCCATTTGTTATATTAGCTGTATTTTCTCATTGCTCTGATGCCCTCACTGGAAGTGATTAGAAATTAAATATTGCTGGAGTCCTACTGAAATCACTGGTAGTCACAATTTTTCTAGCATTCAGCTGGTTTTCCCCAGCACTGACACTTAGGCTTCAAAATAACAGGACTGCTGACTTGGGCTATTTCTCCTAAACCAAGGGCATTTTAAACGTCTTCCTGCTAAAAAGTTAGATTGTTAACCTTAATACTGTGACACCACATTCTCACTCAATCAAGAGAGTATTTTCTGAATGTAAACTGAACCTTTTCTGGTTTTCTGCACTGCTCGGCCTTGCTAAAGCTGCAAACACAGCAAACTTTTCAGTAGAGAGAAGCAGTTTTAGAAAGCAGGGTTTTCAGGCAGGCCATTGCTGTCTATGACTGCTCTTTAGAAAAAGCTACCCAGTTCTAAATCAAAATCATTCTGTGCTTACTTATCAGTCACATCTTGCTCCAGCCACTTACGAGTAAGCTTATACTCCCATGCATCTCAAGATCAAGTGAAGTGAATATGGCACCATCTTACAAAGCTTTGAGATTTGTCAATCTCATTCAACCAGTTTGAAATTGGCTGATCAACAGGAAGATAGAATCCATACAGTGCAGACAGATGCCATTTGGCCCATTGAGTCTGCACTGACACTCCCAACCTATCCTTGTAACCCTACATTTACCATAGTTAATCCACATAGCCTGCAGACAATTTAGCCTTGCCAATCCTCCTAATCTACACATCTTTGCACTGTGGGAGGAAACCAGTGCACCTGGAGGAAACCCACACAGGCACAGGGAGATCACAAACAATCACCCGAGGCTGGAATTGAACCCAGGTCCCTAGCACTGTGAGGCAGCAATGCTGACCACTGAGCCACCATGCCACCCAGTGGGTGCAGGCTCCAACACAAATGTGTTGACTGTTGTCAGCTCTCTGTCCCATGCAGGGCTAGACCTTGAGCACCAGGAAATCAATAACAAACTCTGCAAGGCTATGAAACTCACAATGTCCAGGCTTATTCCTGTCACTAGTTTGAAACACCTGATGGACAATAGATATCCACACACCCAACTTCCCCACCCCCACCTCTGGTCACTGGTTCTTACTATGGTTTCCTTTTCCATAGACTTTTTAAATTCTCTTCCCTGGGCACTTTGCAATGTGAATGGTCAGCTTTCTGGCAATCTGCCTACCTTATACTAGAGTAATGCCATTTACTAACTTTCCATAATCAACTTCCTGCTGCACACTCATCTTCGGTCCATTGATATTTACAATATCCATCTCCTTTGTGAAAACTGAGGGGAAGACTTAAACAGTTCTTTCATTGTCCTCCCCTCTATCTGATGGCCTGCACACCTAACCTTTTAAGAATATAAGGGGTGGGATGATCCCATACTATATCTGAGTGAGGGATGACCATGCAACCAACACACCACCTTCACTAATGTGAAAACTCACTGTGTTGCCAGCCATTCAGCCCATTAAGAATTGGCAGATGAGCCAAGGATGAGTTTATCTCCCTACCACAAGCATTGATACTGGTGACAAACTATCAACCAAGCAGAAATTTCAAACATTGGACCTTAGTTTTTGAAATATATTTCCATGACTGTATTTACCAGTGATTATATCTAAAACAGTTCATTGTGTTTTCTTTCTCCACTGCTATTCTCTTCCTTTGTTTTCCATCTTCTAACTTACGGCTGTGTGTATTTGTTTGCAGCTCGACCAATCATGGAGCAGATTCCAAAGTTCATGTCACCAATGGGGACCTCCAGCAGCAGAATTATTCTCCGAGGGGAAGACCTGTTACTAGAATGCATCGCTTCGGGAATGTATGTCAAACTGAAGTTCCAACTGTGCTTCCAATCAGTATCGGGGTGTGGGCTTGGGAGGGCAAGAGCAGGATGTTGGTGCCCTGAAAAGGTGGCAGAGGTAGCAGATGGACAAACAGTTGTGGCTATTTGCTCGCTACAACTGAATGCCACTTCAGAAAGAACCACACTGTTTTGAGGGTTGGAGTCAAAGATGGACCAAACTGGATAAGCACATTGGTTAAAGATATTGGCGAACTAGTTTTTTGTAACAACCCATGAACTTCATGCCTATTATTGCTGAAACAGGCTTGTGTATGTGCGTGTGTCTGAAGCACATAGAACAAAGAACAAAGAACATTACAGTACAGGAACAGGCCCTTCGGCCCTCCAAGCCTGCACCGACATGCTGCCCATCACAACTAAAACCCCCTACCCTTCCGGGAACCATAACCCTCTATTCTCACCCTATTCATATATTTGTCAAGACGCCCTTTAAAAGTCAGTATAGTATCTGCTTCCACTACCTCCCCCGGCAGTGAGTTCCAGGCACCTACCACCCTGTGTATAAAATTTGCCTTGTACATCACCTTTAAACCTTGCCCCTTGCACCTTAAACCCATGGCCCCTGGTAACTGACTCTTCCACCCTGGGAGAAAGCTTCTGACTGTCCAGTCTGCCCATGCCCTTCGTAATCTTGCAGACCTCAATCAGGTCACCCCTCAACCTTCATCGTTCCACTGAGAACAACTCAAGTTTCTCCAACCTCTCCACAGCTAATGCCCTCCATGCCAGGCAACATCCTGGTAAATCTTTTTTGTACCCTCTCCAAAGCCACCACGTCCTTCTGGTAAAGAGGCGACCAGAACTGAACACAATATTCCAAATGCAGCCTAACTAAGGTTCTATAAAGCTGCAACACTACCTGCCAATTTTTAAACTCAGTGCCCCGGCAGATGAAGGCAAGCATGCCGTATACCTTCTTGACTACCTTCTCTGCCTGTGTTGCCACTTTCAGTGACCTGTGTACCTGTACACACAGATCCCTCTGCCGGTCAGTACTCTTAAGGGTTCTGCCATTTACTGTATATATTCCATCTGGATTAGACCTTCCAAAATGCATTCTCTCTCATTTTCCGGATTAAACTCCATCTGCCTTTTCTCTGTCCAAGTCACTAAGCAATCTATATCCAGCTGTATCATTTAACCGGTCCTCATTGCTATCTGCAATTCCACCAAACTTTGTGTCATCAGCAAACTTACTAATCAGACCAGTTACATTTTCCTTCAAATCATTTATATATATTACAAATAGTAAAGGTCCCAACACTGATCCCTGAGGAACGCCGCTCGTCACAGCCTTCCATTCAGAAACACACCCTTCCACTGCTACCCTCTGTCTTCTATGACCAAGCCAGTTTTTTATCCATCTTGCAATCTCACCTCTGACCCCATGTGACTTTACCTTCTGTATCAACCTGCCATGAGGGACCTTGTCAAAGGCCTTACTGAAGTCCAATATCGACTGCCCTACCTCATCGATCATCTTTGTCACTTCCTCAAAAACTCAATCAAGTTAATGAGGCACGACCTTCCCCTTCACAAAACCATATTGCCTCTCGCTAATACGCCCACTTATTTCCCAGTGGGAGTAAATCCTGTCTCGAAAAATCTTCTCCAATAATTTCCCTACCACTGATGTAAGGCTTACTGGCCTGTAATTAGCTGGATTATGCCTGCCACTCTTCTTAAACAAAGGAACAACACTAGCTATTCTCAAATCCTCTGGGACCCCCACTGGCTACAGGGGAGATACAAAGGTTTCTCACAAGGCCCCAGCAATTTCCTCCCTTGTCTCTCTCGGTATTCTGGGTATTCTCAGTAATCATACATTCATGTTCATGTACATATACGTTGTGGTGTATCAAAACCTTTCCCCTGGGGGGCTTTGGGATAAGTTGGAATTTTGGATGAACATTTCACACTGCGGCAGAGATCTAGCTGGGTAGGTGTTGTGTCTGGGTGGAGTAGTGTCTCGGAATGAGGATAACACTTGCTTCTGGCAAAAAAAATGTGCGCGATGTCTTTAGATGCCTGTTGCCAGGGAGGCTATTGTGTTTGAGCAATCACAAGGTTATTCCACTCCTGCTGCCTGCCATAGGCGCATGGGATGGATTTACAGGCTGGAAAGTAACCTTTTTGATACCTTTATGATACACATTCCATAACTATCAATCCTGAGGTGAGACTTGAACTTGGAGCTTCTGACCCAGAGGTAGAAACATGACCCATTGTGCCAAAAGACCTCTTGGTAGCAGCTAATTGTTGCCATTGTTATGATTTTGATGGAGACCAGTGATGCTTTGAAATTTTTTTAGAGCTTGAAACTCCCGATATTTATTAAAAGGATTAAGACACAATGTTCACATTTAAGATTTTGCAACTCAGAAATCAAAGAACACAAATACTAATAAATACACTTATCTTAAACAATCAATTATTTAAAAGATGATAAAAGTATCATTAACTCAGATATTTATAATTTGAATCAAGTTCTTTAAATTGCATTGCTTTATACACTTTGGACTTTCACCCTCAGTAAACTCAATTCAGATATTTACCAAAAAATTTACAAGAATATTCACTTAATCTCAGTATTGCTGTGAAGATTCATGTATGGGTTGAGGTTTTTTGGGGGGACAGCACCTCTGACAGTGTAGCACTCTCTCAGCTCTGCATTGGTGTATCATCCTAGATTTCCATGCTTTAATATATCTCTGTAATGCTACTGGACTTCAAGCCACAATTTTCCAACTCAGGGACATAAGAGCTGTGACCGAACCATCTTTAAACCATACATTTCTTCACAGTACATCCATTGTACTTAAATCTACGTCATTGAAATAATTCCTCTGATTTTCAGACCCACACCAGATATAATTTGGTACAAGAAAGGTGGTGAACTGCCTTGGCCAAAGGTGCGAATTGAAAACTACAACAAGACATTGAGGATCACTGATGTTTCTGAGGAGAACTCGGGAGAGTATTTTTGCTTGGCATCCAATAAAATGGGAAGCATACGGCACACGATCACAGTGAGAGTGAAAGGTAAAATAATCTATTCAGATCCTTACCTTCTCCAATTCACCTGTTCACTGCCTTTTGTCGCATTGAATATTTTCGTATTTTCATCTGTCGAAAATAGCCAAATGTCCACTCAATCCTACTCTGTCATTTCATTAAACAGTTAAATTCTCTCTGAATTTCACTTTCCCATCTTATCCCCATGTTCCATATATCCAAACATTTACTACTTTGAATACAGTCAATTACAGAATCCACAACTATCTGGTGTAGAGATTTCTAAAATTTTGTAATCCACTGAGTTTGTAATTGGTGAAATCCTCACTGCTCTCACCAACTTATAACATGTTGTGGATTCACTCCCACTGATCCTTCTCACTGGTATTCATCTAGGCTTCTGATGCTGTACCCAAAAGAATCTTAAACAGTAGATCGTAAGATAAAGGAGCAGAAGGAGGCCATTGAGCCTATTATGTCTGCCCTGTTATTCTATAAGATCATGGATACAATCCTGAAGCCCACTTTCCAACCTTTTCCCCATAACCCTTGATTTCCTTACTGGTTAAAAGTCCATCTATCTCAGCCTTGAATATACTTAATGACCCAGCCCTTTGTGGTAAAGAATTCTACAAATTCACTAGCCTCAGAGAGAAGAAATTCCTCCTCAACTCTGATTTAAGTGTGAGACCCTTTTACTGTGAGCTTATGGCCTGTAGTCCTAGGCCCACCCTTAAGGGGATACAACCTTTCTGCGTCTGCTGTGTAAGTCCTCTAAGAATCTTATATGCTTCAATGCGGTCACCTCTCATTCTTCTAAAGTTAAACAGCCAGAAGAAGATAGGCACAATCTTAATGAACTGCAAACAGGTGTATTAAATATTGTTCAATTACATATGATGCACGATTGTGTTTGCAAGACTCATATTCAACTTAAGACCATGTGGACATGACTATTCAGGGATATGCTGTGACCACAAAGAACAACAGCTTAGGAATTGATTGGCTTCTCCTATGAACAGTCCTTTGTATCTGGGTGAGTGGAACTTATCCTGTGATGACAGTTAACGCCTTCAGGAACTGTCATATACAACAACTGAGTGAAGAAATCTTTCCTCAACTTGGCTGTAAAATATCAATCCTTTATTCTGAGAATGTCACCCCTAAAGAGAGGTGTTAGTGCCTTTAACCATTTACCCCAATTTACATCAATGAGTTTTATACATTTCCGAGAGAGTTTAGATCTGACAGGTAACTTGATCGAGGGTGTTTCAGTTGCTAAATATTGGGGAATTCATGAACCAGGGCAATAATCATAAGATCAGGCGACACCTTTTTCACACAAAGGTAGGAGTTTTCTTATTTGAAATACATTGGATAGAAGTATAGGATCTCTACAGTGTGGAGACAGGCCATTCGGCCCACACTGACCCTCCAAACAGTATCTCACCCAAACCCACCCCATCCCTGTAACTCTGCATTTCCCATGGCTAATCCGCCTAGCCTGCACATCCCTGGGCACTATGGGCAATTTATCATGGCCAATCCACCTCAACTGCACATCTTTGGACTGTGGGAAGAAACCTGAGCACCTGGAGGAAACCCACGCAGACACAGGGAGAATGTGCAAGCCTCACACAGTCACCTGAGGTTGGAATTGAACCCAGGTCCCTGGTTCCACCCACTGAGCCACTATGCTAGCATTTATTGCCCATTCCTAGTTGCTCGAGAAAATGGAGGTAAGCTGCCTTCTTGAACCACTGTAGTCCGTCTGGTGTAGATAGACCCACAATGCCCTTAAGAGATGGAATTTCAGATTTTGACCCAGCGATAGTGAGGGAACAGCAATATATTTCCAAGCCAGGATGGTGAATGGCTCAGAGGGGAACTTGCAGGTGGTGGTGTGCCCATATTTTTGCTGCCTTTGTCCTACTAAATAGAAGTAGTCCTGGGTTTGGAAGGTGCTATCTGAGGAGCCTTGGTGAATTTCTTCAGTGCATCTTATAGATAGCACACACTGCTGCTACTGAGCATTAGTGATGGAGAGAGTGGATGCTTGTGGACATTGAGCACATTTGTGTCGGCTGTATTCAATGTCTTAGCAATAACTTCGGAATTTCTGAAGAAGTAGGAAATTTGAGGAGTCTCAACTGAGTGAAATGAAAAATGAGATACGATCCCAGGCCACTTGAGGGTTGGGTGTTTCAGGGACGGAAATTTAGAAGCTTCCTCTCGGACGCACATCGTCCCTATTATGTGATCCAACCAAAGCCAAAGGACCAATTAACACGAGGTTGATGTTACCAGGTAAAAGATGATTTCCACCCCAGTTAAAAACAGGTCCAGAACCTTCATTTGACGAATGCAAGTGTTCACAAGCATTACTCACAGGGGATAGACATGGGGCAGTTGGGACAACAAAGAATAAAATTGTTAAGCGAGTGTTTAGAGGGAACGGTAACAGTGTAACACCATATCCATGTTAAACAAATGCTTATCAAGAACTGAGGGAGATGGATCATCAAAAAGCCTAAACTTTCATGCCTGGTCTTTACTAAGTTAGATTGCTGGAGTCCCATCAATGTCACATCCTGAGGGGAAATTTCATTCCTGGATTGAATGCTGTTTTCAGCATGCACTGAGGAAGAAGTCTTTGATATGATCTTTAATATGTTTGGTTGCAGTCTGACCCACCAAACAATACCGATTGAGATTTAGCCCAAATAAAACACTAGAGTAATCCAAACATGCTGTACTTGTGAGAAATGAAAATTCTGCAATCCATGTTGTGTTCAGCTGACAATTATTTTGTGTTTAATTTTCATTCTCAAAGCTGCTCCATATTGGCTGAATGAGCCCCAGAATTTGGTGCTGGCTCCTGGGGAATACGGCAGATTGGTGTGTCAAGCCAACGGAAACCCCAAGCCTAACATCCAGTGGCTGGTGAATGGGGAACCCATAGAAAGTGAGTTCACGATGACCGTGTCATGACTTCTGTGTGTCTTGTTGGGTTTCATTATTGTCATTTCTCTACTAAAGCTGACTGAATTGGGAGTGGGTGTAATATCTAACACAAGGTTCAGCAACCTGTTGAGTCTTGAAGAGCTTTTGAAAAAAAAAAATGAAAATAAAAGCTTTTGGGAGCCGTAAGAAGAAAACTTGGCAATTCTAAAGTCTATCGATCTGTTCCATAATAATTAAAATCTATATAATAAAATGGTATATCAACTGGAAAGAAAAATCAAAATTAAGACAAATCTAATTCTGAGTTATTGATTTTCATAACATTTGCTGTGTCTTTTTAATAACTATTTTTTGTTTCTCTAGTATATGCATGCTCAGATTTTACACATAAATTTGCATGAATTATGGACAATCACATTCAAATGAAAATGTAAAAGTGGTCAACCATATTAATTTGCTGGAAAAACAGTATGTCCATAGTTAGAATGGAAAAGTAATAAGAAATTCACATATAATATTGAAAATAATCACACTTATCTTTGTGTTTTTATGACAGGACTTGCAGTAAGTTGAGTTTGTTTCAACAATAATCAGCAAAGTCATCTTTGAAACAAACATTAGCTTAAGATGTGTTTCTACAAGACCAGTTTTTAGCCATTGATTTTCTTGACAAGAAAAATTGCTTCTAATAATACATTCACAATAATTTATCAACTGAGCTATAGTAACAGTAATGGTCCCATCCAGGAAACCCGTTCCTCAAGCATTAGGTATTGTTTGAACTTAAGGATCAGAAGTAGGCCATTTGGTCAATCAAGTCTGCTGTGCATTCAGTAAGGTCAAGACAGATCTCCATTATCTGAAATCATGGTGTAGCTGTACTACTCATTTATTTAAAGCATAATAATGGTTTTCGTTAAAATGTCACTTGAATTCAAGTAGTGCAGCATAATGTTCAAGACTGGCTGAGGCACGCAATGGAAATCAAGCCACAGTCATATACCCACAGTCATCAGAAAAGTTAAAGACTTGAAAATAATTGCACAAGATTCCTAATTTATCTGTTTTTTTCAGACATAGCAAGCACGGACCAGATTTCAGTATTTAATCACTAGAATCACATTGTGCTACAAGTTATTAGACTCTTGCTACAGGACATGGAGGAAATAAATCACATAGAGGGAGGAAAAATGAGAAAATCAGCTCAGTGGTGTTTGTTGACAAAATCTGTAGTGTTAGTTCTTGCTTCTCTCTACTGAGAAAAGGAAGCCTTTTCACAATACTTCCACAATGCACACAGTGACTGGTTCACTTACAAAAGCTGTCTGATTTATCGATTTTATTTTTTATTTGTTCATGGGACATGTACATCACTGGCTAGGCGGCATTTACTGCCCATCCCTAATTGTCCAGAGAGCAGTTAAGAGTCCACTACATTGCTGTGGGTCTGGAGTCACATGTAGGCCAGACCAGGTAAGGATGGCAGTTTCCTTCCCTAAAGGACATTAGCAAACCAGATGGGTTTTTCCAACATGGTCATTGTAAGACTCTTAATTCCAGATCTTTATTAGATTCAAATTCCACCATCTACCATGGCAGGATTCAAACCCAGATTCCCATAACGTTACCTGCATCTCTGGATTAACAGTCCAGTAATAATACCGCTCAACCATTATCTCTCCCTATTCAATTCAAAATTTTCAACTTACAACAACTGTTGAAGAGAAGTTAATCCAGTTTTCTTCAGGTTTAAAATTGGTTTTAACTGCAGAACACCAAGAGACAACTCCTAACCTGGTGAAGCTCTGAACACGTCTCTACATCTTGTTCCTAGCTCAAAACTGTTCACCTACCTGAGATTCGATCACATGGTTGCTTGCAGGAAAAAGGCTTTTGTCTTTGGTAATTTGTCACTAGTCCATTGACTAATCAGCATCTTATTACCAGCCAAACCTCCATCTGATTACAGAAACCCTCAGTTCCAGTTGGCCTGCAACTAACTTTCAATTAGCACTCATTCAAACAGCTGTTTAAATAATGCTTGCCATGAGTGCCAGGTGACTTGCTTTTCTATACATGCAGAAACTCTGAGAAATGTGATTTTTAAAAACGTTCTTTCTCATTTCAGTCCATAATTTTCAAAAGCACAAAAATAAAAGGATATGGTTGTTACAATAATTATTCGGTTTTCACCCCATATGCAAAATCTTACTTTACTTGCTATATTTTCTTTGGCTTCTTTCATCATAATTCAATCCAATTGGAAAGGGTTTTGATGTGGGAGTAAGATATTGAAGAACCACAGGTGGCTCCAAAGCTGCAGGTTGCTGACCACTGCTGTAATAGGTTATCAATTTGATGTCACAGACTTTACACTATTATTCAAATTAAAATTTATCCCCATTGTGTGTGTGTGTGTCTGTGTGTCTGTGTGTGTGTGTCTGTGTGTCTCTGTGTGCGTGTGCCTGCCTGTCTATTAATATCTAACAGGACAACATTCTAGAAGACTGTTAATCAAACAATGATTAGTTAACCATCTCCTTCTTTCTCTGAAAGAGGTCCGTCAGAGTCCAGGCCGTGAAATTGATGGTGATACAATTATCTTCCGAGAGGCACAGATAGGAAGCAGTGCCGTGTACCAATGCAATGCCTCTAATGAGCATGGGTACTTACTGGCCAATGCGTTTGTCAGTATCCTTGGTAAGTTTAGATACAGCTGCCTTTTCCTTGATGGTTAATGTTGAGCTGGAAGTGTTAGCTTGCCTGTGAGTCCACGATATCTTAACTCATTGAGTTACAACCTTGAGTTTCAGTCTGGATGATGTCCAAAGTGGGGGCAGATAAAGGAAGACTGTGAAAAGTTTTGTGCCCCTTATCTAAAGAAAGATATACTGGAATTGAAGGCAGTCCACAGAAGGTTCACTAGGCTGATACCAGGTATGGAGGAATTGGCCTCTAAGGAAACGTGGAGTAGATTGGGCCTGTACTTATTGGAACTTAGAAGAATGAGAGGCAACCTTATTGGAATGTATAAGATTCTTTGGGGATTTGACAGGGAAAATGTTGTTTTTTGACTGGGTCATTATGTATATTCAAGGCTGAGATAGTTTTTTAATCAATCAGGGAATGAAGGGTTATGCAGAAAAGGCACGAAAGTGGAGTTGAGGAGTATTAGATCAGCCATGACCTCACTAAATGGCAGAGCAGACTGAATGGGCCGAATGGCCTAATTCTGCTCTATGTCTTATGGTCTTGTGGTCTTAAATGGGTTTGCACGCCTGATATTTGAAAATAGTGATTGTGCTTGGGATGTTGGTGCTCGGACAAAACTTTGAGCTGATCTTATTGATAAATTTTAAACCTAAATAGGAACAGGTAGCCCGAAGATCTGAGGGAGAGAGACTAAGAGAGATTAAGCGAGAGGAAGTCTTCAACCTCCTTTAAATCTGTATGTCGATGATAAATTGACTGTGCTGTCACTGAGTGACCATCTTGAATGAAATGCTGCTCTTTCAATGCAGGAATTTGTGAGATATGTTTACCTATTCTGCCAAATCTGGGCACGTTGTAGCATATTAATCTGAAATGCTACATTAAGACCTTGTCCACTCATCACTAATGTAATGTGCATAGGTATATTCTGTCTTACCTGGACTGTCTGGCGTCCAATGTGGGAACCATTCTGTAAATGAGAGTATGACTTTGATAATTACCCAATGTTTCCTCATTAAATTCAAAATGATAATGGCAATTATTTAGATTTCACATTGAGTCGCTTGAAATTTTAGGTCATGATTTTTTTTTAAATATGCAAGAAATTTTAGCAAATACTCTAAATACTACAGGAGGGAATCCATTAAATAGAGTTTGATGTGCAGGTAAATATGGTCTTTTGAATTTTGTTTTTTTGGGTTTAGGGAGTTAAGGAATTTTTTTTTTTTCCAAAAATTACTTTTTTTTTTGCTCTGCCAGAAGTTAAAGTCATCAGAGGTCAGGACGGGTGGTGCATGTGGAACAGATAGAGCAAAAGTCAGAGGATCAATATGAGGATGGGATAGACAGAAATGTCTTTTCCCAATTTTCTGCCTTGTATTCAAATCAAGATTGAGGTGCCATTAAAAGCAGTTCAGTTAGAGACTTGTGAAACGATGTTAGCAGTTTGGCCTTTACACTGTCTATCAGTTTAGTTCTCCGAAATAAAAGCATCAGCAAAACGTCTGAGCCAGCCACTGAGGGAGCAATGTTTAACAGGAACAAAAACTATTCTTTTTCCAAATCTTCTGTTGCCTCCATATGTAATCTGTAGAGTGCTTACACCTTGTCAAGTTACATGATGAGTAAAGGTAAAGTTCACCATCGTCCTCCCAGGCCATAGGGCTGATGTCTCATCAGAGAGGTTTAACCTGAGAGTCCCTCAGGCGAGGGCAGAGGTTGAGAAGGAGAATCCTTCATGTTTACCTCATCAAGTGCAGGAATGGAACGCACACTGTTGGCATCACTCTACATTGTAAACTAGCCATTCAGCCAACTGAGCTAACCACAAAAGGAACATGCTTACGATAATTTTATCACCTGTCTACCAGGTCCTCATGTCAGCCTTGTCTCCATGGATGCCTCTCAGTCCAAAGACTGTGCGTACCTCTCCCACTCCATAACTTTGAACATATAAACTTGGCCAAATCTTTTGTCAGTGCTTCATAAGCGGAGATGCTGTCAATCAGGTGAAATGTTAAAGTGGGACATATAGAAGATTTCTAAGATAACACAGTGTGGATCTGGAGGGACACAGCAGGCCAGGCAGCATCAAAAGAGCAGGAAAGTTGACATTTCAGGTCATTTCGGAAGAAGGGTCCCGACCCGAAACGTCAACTTTCCTGCTCCTCTGATGCTGCCTGGCCTGCTGTGTACCTCCAGCTCCACACTGTGTTACCTCTGACTCCAGCATCTGCAGTTCTTACTATCTCTAGAAGATTTCTAAGGTAGTTTTGTTTTCCAAAGAAGCACAGGCAATTGTCCTGTTTACAATGAAATCCAAACCATTTTCATTTATGTTTCACTCATGATCACTTAAAGGACTTAGCTGTGTGCATTTTGCCTGCAAGCTATCAATAATTACACTTGAGATACAGTTCAGGAGTTGTGAAGGCCATTGGCACCAATGAATGAGGTCTGTTTTGCCTCTGGCAAAAAGACTCCACTATTTATTAGCATTTTTAGAAGGGGGTTAGTTGCCTAGATGGTTTGCATTGCAGCATAACCCCAACAGTGTGAATCCAATTTCTACACCAGCTGATATTAACACGAGAGATTCTTCTTCTCGACCTCAGCACTGACCTTGAGGTGTAACGACTGTCTAATGATAGAGCAGTCCAGTGGGACTACGTGACTTTAGTATTTTTGTGAATCTTTGCAACTGATAGAATCTTCTTTGTTCACAGATGTTCAGCCTAGAATATTGTCCCGACGAAACCAAATGGTCAAAGTGATAGAAAATAACCGAACAAGGCTCAGTTGTCAGTTCTTCGGTTCACCAATCCCCACCCTGCGATGGTAAGTGGCAAGTTGCTGAGGCATTATATTGTGTGAGCACATCCTAGCAGATAAATGTAGGGAAGCACTAATACAATATGGAGCTTGATGTTCGAATAAAATGGGATAGTGTCACAACGTAGAAAATAGTTTTTGTCTTAATGTCCCATAAATTCATTCAGTTTTTTAATATACATTCATGGGATGAGGGTGTCACTGCCTAACATTTATTGTCTTTGCCTATGAACTGACATCCCATCCTTTCTCTGATTCTGTTCTTTTATGTCTTGAGGTTTAAGGATGGGCAGGGCAATAATCTTTATGGAGGCAACTATATTATCCATGACAACGGGACTTTGGAATTGCGACGAGCACGGAAGGTTGATGAGGGAACCTATACCTGTGTAGCGACCAACATACTGGGCAAGGCTGAGAACAGGGTGCGACTGGAGGTCAAAGGTAACGTTTTTTTATGCCAAGAAATGAGGTTTGCAACACTTCGTGGGCTGGACGTGATTTGTAGAGCCTGCTAAACCGCCATTTAGATTCATGTCCAAAGTGAAAGCTGCCATTGGTTGCTGGAGACAACTGCTCCCTCAATTTTTAGTTTTGAACGGGAAAACCATTTCACCTTTTCTAGACCAAAGTAAACTTTGCGGATGCTGGAAGTCTGGAATAGCATGAGAAAGTGCTTGAAGGGCAGATCTATTTTACTTTCTCATGGGATTTAAACATCATTGGCAAGACCAGCACTTCACTCCTAATTGTTCTTGAACTGAGTGACTTCCGAGGGCCCTTTCAGGGGCCAGTTTAAGAGTGAAATGCACTGCTGTGGGGCTGTGGCACAATCCTTTAAAATATGGGACAGCAGACCACCTTGGGATAGAAGTCTGATGTTTTCACATTGCTTTCTATTTACCATGGGAATCATGGAGGCTTACAGCTAGGTGGTGGGACTCTAATTGAGATACAGTTACTTGAGCTGCTCAAATGATAAGAATTCTCACCCTTTTACAATTTCCTTTGCCATTAATGCAGACCCTACAAGGATCATAAGGGCTCCAGAATCTATCACAGTGAAGAGGTCATTTGCTGCAAAGTTTGAATGTAAAGTGAGGCACGATCCAACATTAAGAGTGACGGTTACCTGGCTCAAAGATGACAAAGTTCTGTATTTGCCATGGAGGTGAGTGTTCCTCCTGTTTACTGCTTCATCATCTCCTCACTGTGTGTCCCTATGCTTGCTGAAGTTACTTTCTTTGGAAGTTCTGTTTCATTTTCTTTCATCCCTAGCTGCCCTTGAGAAGGTAGTGGTTGTAGTGATTGTAACGAGGTCAGCCACATGGACCTCATCGATTATGAGTTCCCTGATTGGGGCTGGTAATCTGGTCCAATCAGGGAGCTCTGGTTGACGTATAAAAAGGGTGAGTGTCAAGGTCACTGACACTCTGGTGCCTGATTCTGTACGAGGCAGTACTATAGTCATGGACTGCTCGTGTGTGAATAAATGGTGATGAGATACCAGCCTCTGTGGAGTTTTTTCTGTGGTAAGCTGCCTTCTTGAACTGCTGCAGTCCACATGCTGTACGTAGACCCACAGTGTTGTAGAGAAGGAGATAGCAGAGTTTTGACCAAGCCACAATGAAGGAATGGCAATTTAGTTCCATGTCAATACGGTATGTGGCTTAGAGGCAAATTTGCATTTGCAGTGTTACTATGAAACACCTTCTACTTGCCTCAAGGTGGTGAAGGTTTGAACGGTTCTATTTAAGGAGCCTAAGTAAGTTATTGCAGTGTATCAGTGTGCATCAGTGCTCAAGGGAGTGAATGTTGACCATGTGCTGATGGCAAATCTTCAGCCATTGATGTAAGTTTAGAAAATCAAGCGCAATTTCAATAGACTCAAGAAAACATGAATTATTAGAGAGCAACCATACTTTCAAATGTTGATAGCATAGACCACTCCCTCATTAACATAAACCAATTCGTGATTAACATGGGGCATTCCCTCATTAACATGGGTCATTCCCTCATTAACAATGGGCCAGTCCCTCACTAACTTGGGCCATTCCCTCGTTAACAATGGGCGAGTCCCTCACTAACATGGGCCATTCCCTC